TTTAGGGTTTAGGGCTTAGGGCGGGGACGCATGGGAGTTTGAAGGGCTTTGTTTGGCGATTCATAGTAGTTTTACAGGGATTGCATTGAGAGGTTTCATGGAGATTTTGACGATTTTAGAAAGGATTTATTTATGGGATTTACGATTGGCTTTGTGGGTGGAGACTCTGATGGAACCTCTGTGTCGGGTGTTGATCAGGGCTATCAGGTTTTGTTTACAGCGTCTTCATGGAGAAAAGTTGTTGATGCGGGCCTTGAGGGGCTCTTGACAAGGGCTGTTACGGGGGGTCTGTCATTGAAGGGTGGGTTAGCAACTTCGGGTTCAGGGAGTTTGAGTGTTCTTCAGGGTTTTGGTAAGGGCCTTAGGGTTTTCTTCAAAGGTTTCCATGGCTACCAAAGAGACCTGCCAAGGACCTACGCGGCCCAAACCGTCGCTTGCCGATGTGGGCAGTTCTCTAAATCAGGGTCCCGTTTTAAACCCCCAATATAGTTCGGCACCCTTATAAAGCGGACTGCAAGGAGGGGCCCTCATTCAGAGAGAACTACCCATGCAGAACTGAGAACCCAACCGCGGCAGCAAGCAGCGCGCTGCGGCGTGCAGTAGGCGCCTCTGCAGCGCTTGTACCCCGGGATCTTCGCATACACCTGTATACACGTGTATGTATGCATATGTATGTGTATATATATATATATGTGTATATGTATGTGTATATATATATATAGATATATATGTGTATGTATATATATATATATAGAGTGAAAACTTTTGCTTTGCCTTCGAAATCAAAGTCTAATCGAGGGTATATACTGGCAAAGCCTCTAGGGTTCAGACTGCACAGTGTTGTTTGAAGGATAGGAGGCTTGAGGATCGCAGGATGTAGGATTTGGGGTTTAGGGTTTAGGTGGCTGCAATTGCCATTGCAAACCCCTAGCTGTCTGCCTTACATGTCTACACTCCGCAAACAAACCCTGTATGATGATTATTGCCTCTCTGTAAACCTTACAAATGCCCTAAATACGCTCCATGCCCTTCACGAATGTCCTGCAAGCCCAGTACTCCCTAAGCAAGAAGAGACTACGCAGTGAAAACCAAAACCTACTAAGTCCATAAACCGGTTGCGGAGTGGCTAGCCTGAAGATCTCCGACCAGCGACTCAAGAACAGCCAGGTGGCTGCTTGCACACGGTTACAGAAGCAGGCTCACTGAAAGAAAATCAACATTACCGACGGTGGCCAAGTGATCAATCAAGTCCATAAACCCTAAGCCCCCAAATGCTGCCCGCCTCTGCGGAGGGCGTCAAGAAAGCAAGTCCTCGCAATCGAAGAAGTCAGGGCTTCACGTGATTACTAGTAGTCTCCCAAAGAAACCTCAAAACTCCCAACCACCCACTCACCAATGTTCAAAAGGAGCCCCCAACTATACACGCGAGAGGATCTCCAAAATGAACCCTGCGTCATGAGTCAGCGATCTAAGCATCTCAGAGCCTAAACCCTTCCAAGGCTCAGTGAACCGTCGTAGTTCCGCCACCCCGAAGACGTCGCCATGAAGAACCATCACCGGAACGACCCAATTCTAGGTGGGTTTAGTTTAGTCGAACAACACCGGTTGGTTGTCGCAGTAACCCTCTGCGATACATCTACCCCAACCCTAAACCTAAAACATCCAAACCCCAAAACCTAAACCCTAACCTCTGAACCCTAAACCCTAAACCCTAAAACCCTAAACCCTAGGCCCCTAAACCCCTAAATCCAAAGCCTTTGAACCCTCAACCCTAAACCCTAAACCCTAAACCTCCTCCCCAGACCCTTACGCTGCGCCTGCCCAAGCGAGGAAGGATCCAGCGAGCAGCGCCCCGCAGAGCTGGGAGTTGAGGGCTGAAAGGTTTAGCATTCAGAGTCGAGGGCTTCGGGTTCAGGGCTTAGGGGGTTTAGGGTTTAGGGTTTAGGGGTTTAGGGTTGAGGGTTCAGGATTGAGCGTCTACTTGAAGGGTCATTGGAGACCTGGTCCCCATGTAAATAGGAGTCCTTATAATCTAGGGTGATCATACTGACCCTGATACAGGCTGTGCTACTCTGGATAGGCTAGAAGCCTGCTTGCTCCGTGTCCTCATATGGACTTGAGGCTGCTATTGGGCATTGCTGGTAGCCCAAGGGATCGGATAGATTAGGATTGGAGGGCTTATGGCTCTGGGGGGTGAAGCTCAGGGTCCTTTGAGTTGAAGGGCCTTGGCAAAAGGCTGCAAGGCTCTACCCTAAACCCTAAACCCTCTAGGGGGCGCTTACCTTACGGTTTGCACGAACTGTGCGTGAATACTTTGCTTCGGGGGCGCACCGAGGTCTTCGTCACCTCTAATGATTATGCAGTGTTCCTTTTGATCGACCACGAAGCACTGTAGCACCGTGTTTCATAAGAGTTGTGAGACATTACAGCTCAGAAATCAGCTTCTCCGAGACCTAAACCCTTGAAGGCAGCACCCTTAGCCTTACTGTCAGCCCTGGGCCCTGGCCCCTAGATCCTCGCCGAGGCCACCAAGCACGAAGCTAGAGATTTTGACCCTGGAAGCCCTAGAATCTTGAGTAATCAACCTTAAACTTCTAAACCCTGAGCCCTAGGGCCGCAAACCCTACGCCCCATGTTCTAAAGCAGTTCAACGGGAGGGGCGTTGCGTTCCTACAGCTTCACAAATAACTGTCGGCGCTGGGGGCCCCAAGCACAGTACACAGTGTCCGTTTCGAGTTTAGGATATAGGGACATCGGACTTGAGGGGTAAACTGTAACTCTGTCTTTAGGGCGTTTAGGGTTTTTGGGGTTTGGGTTATGGTTTTAAGGTTCAGGGTCTGGGCTTACCGCTCAGGACGATTATCGAATTGACTCTCCGACACGGCAAATCCTCGACCAACAAGCCAAAACCCCTGCGGTAGACAAGGGATCTCCAAACAAGAGAGTCCCGACGAAGTACCCACCGCCATCAACCCTAATTCAAAAGAAACTAAACAGCTTGAAAATCCAAAGGGCACCAAAACAAAGGGACCCTCGTCATAAGAACCACGAACCGCGGACCCTGTCCCGTAAAGCCTGAAAGAAGCCCTACGCCCCACAAACCCTTAAAGGAGGGACCCCCCGCTTGGAAGCAACTCTCCCCATGGAAAAGTCTAGCCACCGGTCGTCCCGTTCGCCGCACCATGCTGGAGACCTGAATCATGGGCTTCGACGCTGGGCTCTTTGGGGTGTTTTTTTGGGTTTGATAGCCGTCCATCGGGCTGCTCTGGGGGTTATTTCTGTAAATGCGGGACCCTTTTCAAGTCTCCAACAAAGTACGGCACCCTTATAAATTATAAAAGGGACCCTAAAACAGGGACCCTAATTTAGAGAACTGCCCACGGGGCTTTTTCTTGGGTGTTACCACGTCTTACCGGGCTTTAAGGTTTCAGGGTTAAGGGTTAAGGGGTTTAGGGTTTAGTGCTTAGGGTTTAGGGTTTAGTTGGGTAGGGCTTGAGAAGAAACAATACCTGTTGTCGGTTTGAAGCCGGCTTTGAGGCTGAGACCCTCGACCCTCAAAACCCATGAACCCCCACTAGAAGCCTAAACCCCTCGTTATAAGCGCCCTGAACCCTGTTGGAAACCCTAAACCCCGATTGCGAAGCCCCCAAACCCCCAACAGAAAGCCTCAGCCCGTGTCAGAAACCCAAGGAGAAACCCCAAACCCCAAACCCCTAATAGAAAGCCCCCCTAAACCCTAAACCCTAAACCCCAAACACCGAAGCTCAACGCGTGGCTGAAGGCCTTGCCCGCAGGACCGAGGTTGGCACGCGAGCTTGGGCCGACATGTTCAGGTGAATGAAATCTAGAGCTAAGGGTTTCAGGGGTTGAGGGTGTGGTTTAAGGGTTTAGGGTTAGGGTTTAGGGTTTAGGGCTTCGAGTTTAGGGGCCTAGGGGCTTGGGGTTGAGGGGTTTAGGGGTTTAGGGTCGAAGGTCTTCGGTGTAGACTTTAGGGCTTAGGGCTTAGAGCTTCAGGTTGGTTCTTCGCGAAGCGAAGCATAGGAAGCGCACAGCAGTTGCTGAACTCTGCATCAGAAGGTGTGTGAAGATCCGCGCTATGTCGTGTTCCCACCTTTCTGCCCTACAGTCTCCGGGTCGATGTTAATTGAAGTGCTCTGCTGAAGAAACTGGCACCTCCGTCAGCAGACAGCAGTGCTGCATGCTCCCGGGGTGTTCAACGTAGAGTGAGCTCTTTCCGACTGGAGCTGGGAAAAGTCAATGAAAGGCTGTCATGACAAGAGAATGCAGACCCGTCGCGAATCCTGTGGGCTCCAAAAAGCTTTCACAACAGAAGACCTTACCAGCTAAGCTGGTTCTAGACACTACGTGTCAAGGACTCGCGACTTCGTCTTGAAAGGAGTTCCGTGGTGCACCAAAGAAATCAGAGGCATGGGCGAACTGCATGAAATAAGCACTGGAAAGGACTAAGAAAATATGACATGCCAATGACCCACAGTGATAGAGACTCACAGTGGAAGAGTGTGAATGCAGTGTGCCAGCAACGCCATGTGGTAACATACAACTCGGTTCCGTTGGGGAGCCAGGTCTGTGTACCTAGAAGCAATGCATAATATACACCACAAGTGCATTGCACCAACCTAACATAGAATCGAAATTCGAGCAGAAGGTACACAGATACCGTCATCTCGAAAGTACGACCCGTGGTGCTGCATGCATTGTTCAGTGACAGACCAATAAACCAATGGAAACCCGTAAAGCCCAGAACAGGATCAGAACATAATGAACCGAACATGCACACAGCTTCCAAGTCGGTGGAGAGAAGTCTCCCAAGGTCGCATATAGAGCCAGCCGATGCCACAAGGGGTTTGATGGCTCATTGATGGACAAGTAGCGATCGACTGAACAGCCAACGTAAGGAAGTGTAAATAACAGCACAAGAACTAGATGTTACAACTCGGAACAGTCGATCACGATTCGCATGCAAAGCAGTCCACTGCAACCATCCACGCTACACGCAGTCAGCTGCATAGTAGCCGACATGTAGCTTTACAATTCCTGGAAGAGTGCTCCATGTCTGTGGACCCAAAACTGCTTCGCGAGAATGATAAATCTGAATACGTACATGCCTCAACTGAAAGATGCAGTGGGGAGCGACTCTTCTGATGGTTTTGCCGCATGCGGACAAGTGTAAAAGGTCAGTCACTGCCCTGTGCGAAGTATGCCGATCATCGAACAGATCACTGCATGTACGACATCCTACACAACCAGAATCAGCAGAAGGCCATCCCTCTGCGGTTACAGAGCCTCTCATGGAGAAAGCGACCAGCATATGCACAGGGGCTGCCAGCTGAGTAGGCAGAAAGATCACATCGGCCATACATATAGCATTAGCGAAGAAACGACATACAATACGTAGGGACATTAGGATCGAGTGCTGACATGACGTAAGAGCGGAGCATTATGTAGTGGCCGTGATGATCAGACTCAGGAAAGCAGTCAAAATGGCACTCAAGTCGTCTCACGACACAGCCCGATCAGGTAGCAGTGTGTTCCAAATCCTTCCAGACTTGAGCAGAGGCCGTTTGCGAACCATGCATCACTTTTGCCGCTGGTCGCTGGCCTGAACATTTGAAAAGTGCTTCTCCCCCGAGCGTCCCTGGCTGCTGAGCTTTGGGCAAACACTGTAACTCGTGAGGTGAGACTACTCACAATCCTGACATGGCTGTCCAACCTGAAGCACACCTGGCCTCGTCTCTATTCATTTGGATGAAGCACCGGTGCGTACGACTCTTCCCTCAGAACTTCCCTCTGCCCGGACGCTACGACCGGAAGCAGGTCAAGATACAACAGCTTGTACACTGCTCCGGAAATGGTGTAGATGCTCGTGAGGATGGAGAAAGAAAAGCTTGCCACTGCATACCTGCTTGAAATCGAGACGTAAGGAAACGCATACACCTGGAGCATCAAGCTGAGAGGTGCTTCTACAGACTTTTCCGATCTCGTAAGCTTCAACAATCCATCACTGAGCATGCCAGCACTGATGCTGGCAACCGCTTCCGAGTGCATGGTTTTGAGGCTGTTCTCCGCTACTTGCTGCCCCACGGACCAGAGAAGGATCCCGAATGCCACGGCACCGAACCATCGATGACCGGCTAGAAAGAAGGTCACCACGCAGCTGGAATCCAGCAAGAAGTCGAGAGCCACCAGGAAGATGTCTTTGGCAACCAGTATCTTCTGGATCAGACCAGGTGTCGGCGCCGCCTCGTCCTGACGGATCGTTCCCGGCTTTGGACACGTGGGAAGCTTGGGCTTGGCCCGGAACCCGGGCAAGGGCTCTGAAGGGGCTTAGGCTAGACAAGTCTGAGAGTTTTATCAAGCTCTGCCGAGTCTACTGCTTCCTTCTTCGATGCAGGCCTTGGATTCCACGGGCCTGGGGTTGGCATCCGAGCTGCAGCATCTGCAGCACGCCTCCAAGCCATAGAGGAAGACGAGGCACAACGGGGCAACCATGGGCCCGAAAATGAGAACGAGTCCGACGCTGCCACCTGCTGATGATAGACCGGAGGCCGCGCCCGCCGCCGTGTAGTTACACCAGCCACTGAGGTGCCAAGGAGCAGTCTCCATGCACTCCGTGTAGGCCCAGGCAGGAAACTTGCCATCTTCGCAGCGTTCCTGCAGCCACCCGGGCAGATCAGTGCAATGGCGGCGAAGGTCCCTCGAAGAATGGAAATGCCTTTCCAGGCGATATAGATCGCGGCCGAGGCTGCCGAAACCTAAGAGACCGATCCAAATGAGCGCGAGCAGGCGCAGCCCAAAAGAGAAAAGCCGGAAACTGCAGGGAGTAGCCCCACGCCTAAAGAAGAGCAGGATGGGGTCCTTCAGAGCGGAAGCCAGTCCTGTCGCACTTCCAGACCGGCTGGGAGGGTTGGGCTTTGGGGTTCAGTGCACTGCGAAAGATCGGTTTGGAAATACCTCGCCTTCTTGGAGCGCCGCCGCCAGCAGCAGCAGGCCGAAGGCGAGGAGTAGGAGGTAAGCCGTAGAGACGAAGGCAGCGACAGGAATTAGAAGCCAAGCTATCACCTCCGGGCAGGGCCGCTGTGAACTCGGCGGGCTTCTGCCGAACAAACCGAAAGATTCCCAAAGATTCCACAAGCTCCAATGAGCCCACCCAGCCTGGATGTTGTACTACTTGTGGTAGTAGTAGTAGTCGTCGTC